GCCATCCAAATTGGACATGAAGAAATGAAACTGCTTGTATACGTAGAAAATCTCAAAGAATCCACCAAAAAATGGCCACTAAGACTAATAAATGAGCTTAGTATAAAGTTGTTATGCAAAAAAAATTTAATTGTATTTCTTGTACTGGCAATGAACAACTAAAATTTTTATTAAAATAAACATGAAAACATTTACAATAGCATCTAAATATCAATGATACTATGGAGAAGTTGAACAAAATTTTTCAAGACCTGTGTTTTGCAAATTATAAAACGCTGCTAAGAGAACTTAAAAGGAGAACCAAATAAATGGAAAGGAGTATCATATTATAGATGAGAAAATTCAAAATTATTATAATGTCATTTCTCTCCAAATTGATGTTTACTACTCAGTGCAGTTCCAATCAGTGTCTCCACAGGCTTTTTTGTAGAAATTGGCAAGCTAATTCTGAAATTTATATGAAAGTGCAGAGGGCCTAGAATAGCTAAAACAATTTTGAAAGACGACAAGGTTGAATGATGTACATTGCTTAATTTCTAGACTTACTGTAAAGCTGTATTAATCAAGACAGCATGGTATTGGCTTAAGGATAGACATATAGATGAAATGAATCGAATACAGTTCAGATACAGGCACACAAACTTAGGTTCATCTGATTTTTTCCCAAAATGCTGAGGCAGTTCAATGGAAGAAACTAGTATTTTTGACAAATGGTTCTGAGTCAGTTGGACACCCATATACAAAAACAGCAAACCTTAATTAATCATTACCTTATGCCATTCCCAAAAATTAACTTGGAATGGATCATAGATTTCAATGAAATGTAAGAGCTAAAACCATAAAACTCACAGAAGAAGCATAAGAAAAAAAATATGTCACCTTGGAAAGGTCTATTTCTTAGATGAGACGTACCAAGCCAAACCATAAGAGAAAAAAAGATCAGTTGTACTTCATCTGAATTAAAAACGTTTGCTTTTCAAAAGTGGCTATTCCAGTTCATTAGTAACACAATTCCTGTCAAAATTCTAGCAATATTTTTTATAGACATAGCCAAGTTTATTCTAAAATTTATATGGAAAGGTTCAGTAACTGGAAACAATTTTGAGTAAGAGTAGTAAATTTGGAGGAATCACACTACCCAATTTTAAGACTTAGCCCTATACTCAAGACATTGTGGTACCTACTGGTCAAGGGGTAGATCAATGAAACAAGAAGACCAGAAGTAGACTCACAGAAGAATAGCCAAATGAATTTTGACAAAGATGCAAAAGCAATTCAATGGAGAAAGGATGCTATTTACAACAAATAGTATTAGAACAATAAGACATCTGTAGCATCTCCTCCACCCCACCCCTGTCAAAAATTTTTTTTAAAAAACCTTGTCCTAAAACTCATACCCTATAGAAGAATTAAGAAAAAGTGGATCATTGATCTAAATGTAAAGTGTAGAGCTATAAAGCTTATATAAGAAAACATAGGAGACAATCTTGTTAATCTAGGGCCTAGGCAAAGATTTCTTACACCAAAAGCAATATCCATAAAAGAAAGAAATCAGTAATGTGGACTTCACCAAAATTAAGAGTTTTTAACCCTGTGAAAGATACTGTGAAGAGCATGAAAAGACAAGCCACAGCGGGGAGAAAATATGTCTGACAAAGTACCTGTATCCAGAGTATATAAAAAACTCTGAACTTAACAGTAGGAAATCAAACAATCCAATTAGAAACGGAGCAAAATACTTGAACAGACTCTTCACTGAAGATCGTATACAGATGTCAGATAAGCACAGGAAAAGATGTTCAACATCATTAGCCACTAGAGACATACAAATTTAAAGCCATAATGGGATGCTGCACACACTAGAATGGCTAAAATTAAAAGCACTGGCTTGAACAAGTGTTGATAAGGATGCAGAAGAACTGGATCTGTTGTCATACCAACAACTTGGAAGATCTGAAGGACATTATACTGAGTGAGAAAAGCAGTCTCAAAAGAGTACATAGTATGTGATTCCATTTATATAACAGTTTTTAAAGGAAAAAAATTCATGATAGAAATGGATCACAGTTGCCAGGGCTAGGGTTGGCTAGAGAGTGCGATTATATAAAGGGATAGCACAAAGGAGTTTCCTGAGGGTGATGAAACAGTTTTGTATCCTAATTGTGGTGGAGATAACACTAATATTTATGTATGTGGTAAGTTTACATATATAAATATACATATATATAACTGCATATACAAACACATATTCATACACAGAATCAGTGCATATGAAAGCTCATAAAGTCTGAGTGAAGTCTGTAGTGTGGTTAATAGTACTGTACTAGTGTCAACTTTCTCATTTTGGTAATTCTGCTATGATTACGTCAAATGCTGTTATTGGGTGAAGCTTGGTGAAGGATACCCGGGAACTCTATACTATTCTTGCAACTTCTATGTGATTCTAAAGTTCTTTTCAAAGTAAAAAGTTTAAAAAAAAAAAAAGACACTAAAGAAAATGGTGGGACCAACCACAAATGGGGAGAAAAATACTTGCAAACATTTGATAAAGGATATATATCCAGAATATATAAATATAAGCATTCAATAAAAGGAAGACAGTTACATTTTTAATTAGCTACATTACCACAGGATACATGTATAGCATATAAGCCTAGGAAAAGATGCTCAGCATCATTAGTTATTAGGAAATACAAATGGAAACCACAATGAAATACTATTTTATATATATATATATATATGGAAAAATTAATGACAATCAAAAGATTGTGGGGCAAGTGGAACTCTTACGTATTGCTAATAGGAATGACAAATGGTATGGCCACTTTGAAAAACAGTTTGGCGGTTTTTTATTAAGCATAGGATTCAGAAATCCCACTCCTAGGTATTAACTAAAGATGGATTTAAAAAAAATGTGTGATTGCTTATACTATCATTATTTATAGCAACCCCCAAACTGGGAACAATCCAAGTGTCCAAATGGTGTAGTCACACAATGGAAAACCAGTCAGTAGTAAAAATGACTGCAGCACAGATAATCTTAAAAGCATTAGGGCAAGTGAAAGAAGCCAAACACAAAAATGACATGCTATGATTTCAATTATGTGAAGATCTAGAAAAGGCACAACTAAGCAGTTCATTGGTTACCAGGGGTTGAGGGTAGGGGCAGGGATTGGCCATACACAGAACATTTTGTGGTGATGGAAATATTCTGTATCATGATTTTGGTTCTGGTTACAGGATTTGGTGGTGGTTACAGGGTTGTATATGTTTATAAAAAACTAATCAAATGGTACAGAGTTGGTGAATTTTTTAGGGCCTTTGCATGCACTATTTCTTCTGCTAGAAAGCTCCCTTCTCTGCCTGCCTTGGTTAACACATATTCAATACTGAGATCTTGCTTGAACATTCCATATCAAGGGAATCCTTTCCTGAGCCTGGACTAGCATAGCCTTGCTTCTGTAGCACCCTGCCCTTTTCCTTCCTTGTTCTGATCACAGCCATAGTTACCATCAGATGGTGTACTAAATAGCATAAGATTGCTTTTCTGTCTTAACTACAAGCTCTGTTAAGTGCCAAGCGCTAATTAATTACTATTGTGTTCATAGTACTGAACACAGAGTTTGACTCAGATACTCCAGTAAATACTGTACAACTGAGCATAAGTGAGTAGAGTTCTCTCTCCTGTTCATAGGAGTGGCTGTGGCCTCTGCAGAAGGTGCTGTTGGCTGAGGCTGCCAACTTAACTTTGGGCCCTCTGTCTCCTGCTCCTGCGCTGTTCCTGGGGAGTTGTGGTTGCTGTCATTGCTCAGCCACAGCTTTGTCCAGACTTCATGTGGACACCGTGGACTCCAGGCCTGCTGCTGGGCTACGCTGAGAATAGAGAGAAGCCTTTCCTTGCTGTTAATTGTTTAGCAGAAAGAAAGTATATTCCTGGATCTACTCCGCTTTTTTCTTTGATTTTCAGCAAGTTAGGAAACCAAAACACAGTCTGTTTGTTACCTGCTTTGGTAACAGTAAGCAAACTCCTGTGAAACACTGCAGAGTACCCCCTTCTCTCTGAGAGGATCCTTCATCTTCCTAAGGAACGGAATGCCAGTCTTCCAAAAAGGCTTAGGACATCTCATCTACAAACACAGTTTGACTACTTGAGGTACAAGCACCGTCAGCTCTGCACTCAGCCTCTAAGCCTTGTGCAGATTACAGGAGACCATCATTATTGTCTTCAAGCCCTGGGCTGACCCAGTTTCCAGGACAGATCTATAGACTATTTGATGAAGGGCCTGACACCCAACACTTCCTGTCTTCCTGACCCCACTTCTCTTCTTCCCTTTTTCCTACTCTGGTAGGCAAGAGGGAATCCAAGTTAAGGTGGGAAATTGGTCTGGTTGACCAGTACCTGTATTTGATCATCCTATGAGCATAGCTGAATGTTTACATCATTACTACACTTTTTTTTTTAAAGCATATGGTCTGTCAACTTAGGCAGAGTTAATGAGACTTACGCAGTCCTCTCTGGAGTTAATTACATGACTAGTTTAGTTATTGATTTTGGAACTGTTTGTCTGGGTCTTTAATTTATCCAAATCTTTTCTCTACCTCTTCAGTTACTTCCAATTTATTTATCTTCTCTTTTACATTGTTTGAACTTTTTGGTTTAGTTTTTGTTTACTTTTAACTTTACATACCTAGGACTTCTTACTAATTTTACTTTTATTTCTTTCATTTAGAAATGCAGTTCGATAGCTCACTCGTTTTCTTCTTCCAACTCTTGTTCCCCCTCCTCTTGCAGTATGCCCAGCTAGCAGCTAGGTATCTAGTCAGGGCACTCTCTTGTTCTGTACTTTCCAGTGACATCTATTCTAGCCTAAGAATTCCACTGTTAGAATCCAGTTTATGGGCCTCTACATAGTCTGGCCCCTGGGCATAGCACAGTGCCTGGCACATGGTAAGCACTTAATATTTGTTGGATTAAATCTCTGCATTGTAAGTCTTACCAGGATTTGGGTTTGTTGTTGTTGTTGTCAGCCTTGTCTTACAACCACACACACACAAAAGCAGTAGTTCTTTAGACCTAACTGGTTTCTCTGTTTATTGCAGGATGTGGAGAGTAGCCGGAGCTGTTTTGCATGCATTTTGGAATAGGCCACTTTTGCCTAGTAAGGATGGATAATAGATTTGTCACTAACCAATATTCAGATGGGTAGAAAAAGACTGCCTTGGCTTATAATCATACAAATGGTTAAAAAACAAAACAAAACAAAAAAAAACTGGCCAGGACTTAGGTGATGGTTATGATGCCCCCAAACAGTTCAGAACAGTATTGTTTTGATATCCTAATATACTAAATGCTTCTCTCATTCTTACATTTTGTTTTTTAAATAACCTTATCTTATATCTTTATACCTTTTGTTTGCTACCCTGATTCTCATATCTTTCAGCATATGCATTGCACCCAGAAGTTGCTGTTGTGGGTCAGGGGCTATGTTATAATGACAGACTGTGCGGCTCTGTGTTTGTTAGTTTGTTAGGTAGGGGTGATACGTGATAACCAGCTCACTAGCCTATCAGTTACAAAAATTAAGATTTCAGTACTCTATAATAAACATATGAAAAGGACTGGTTTAAAGTTTTAAACTGTGGAAGTAACCTTAAAAACAAGTTTAGTTATAATTATTTGCTTTTTTCTTTTCTTTTTTAAACCATCAGTTGTTTCCTTAAGTATAACAGGTGCGCTAACCAGGCTCTGTGGTTTTTTTTCTTTCTAATTGTGTTTTCTAATGAAGCAGCTTTTTTTAAACATGATCTAGCAATCTGTGAACAGAGTGGTGACTTGAATGTTAAGATTAAACAAATTCATTTTGTTAATGTCACATTTTGTTCTATTTTGCAGCTTCTCAGTGAATTTTTGGATGAAGCCATTAAATTAATTGCTTGCCACCATGAGTAGAAGCAAGCGTGACAGCAATTTTTATAGTGTAGAGATTGGAGATTCTACGTTCACAGTCCTGAAACGGTATCAGAATTTAAAACCTATAGGCTCAGGAGCTCAAGGAATAGTGTGGTAAGTTTTTGTTTCTAAAAATAGGCAAAGAATCATTAACTGCTCTGTTTTCTACTCTCACAGTGTAAATTCCTTGGTAAATATTTAACTTGCTTCAAAAAATTTAATCAAACCTAGAAAATTTAAATTAAAACCATAGCCTGGTAAGTTGTTTTGTTCTAAGATTGATGACCTTTTCATTATTCATAAAACATAACTTTTAAAATCAGCACTGTCATCGATAAGTATAAATTATGATTAAATACTTGATCATAAGCATGTAAAGACAAATACCTATCAGAAAAGAGTAAGTGACATGCTTGGTAATTCCATGTCTACATCTCTTCCCATAGCTAATTGTTTAATAAGAAGCTTCACTTAATCATCACTTTTACACTGTAACAAAATTCTGGAATTTCATAAATCTTACTTTACACTGGGGAATGAAGTCAGCTAGTATCTCTGTATTTGTTTCAAAACTCCTATGTATCTTTAAAATTGATTTACAAGCTAGTTTCTGCAAAAGGCCTAGGCTTTATGGATCAGCATAATTCCTTATAAACTGAAAATCAAAATGCTCTTTGGGACAGTTCTGTTAATGATTTTAGATCACTAAGTTAGCATAATAAGCTAGTGTTTTAGGGAATTCTAAGCCTCACTCAAGCATAATTATATTTTTATTACCTCTTTTTGAACCAGATTTGTTTTGGGATCTATTAAAAAATCATAAATGTTTATAACCCTGCAGTTCTCCCAGGTTCTAGAAAAACTCTTGCATACAACTTTTGCACATATGTAGAAAGAGACCTGCAAAGGGCTGTTTTTTGCTATACAATTTATAATAGCAAAAAATTGGTAACAGCATCAAATCCATTAGTAAGAGAGTAAAAAATAGTCATACAGCAAAATACTATACAATATTTAAAATTAACTAGAGTTATATATATCAACAAGGATAATCAGAAGTGTAATTCTGAGTGTAAAAGCAAGATGTGTAATATACACACATGATTATACCATGTATATTGTTTAGAATATGGAAAACAATGCCATGTATTTATGTATGCATATACATGTAGAAAAGTGTAAAAACATTCATAAACATCAAACTCAAGATAGTACTTACTTCTGAGAATAAAGAGAAAGAAGGGGACTTTAAAACCTAAAATAATATATTTATTTTTTTAAAAATTCAGAGCAATTATGATAAAATATTAGAATCAAGCAAATTTGTGTAATGGGAACTTTTTTTCTTTTATGTATTCTATTTTTATTCTTTTATGTATTCTTAAAATAATTTATACTATAACAAATTACAGAAGCTGGGTTATTTTATAAAGTATTATTGGCTGACTGATAAAAAAGAATAAAATAATGCCATTTGCAGCAACATGTATGGATCTAGAGATCATCATTCTAAGTGAAGTAAGCCAGAACAAGAAAGAAAAATACCATATGATATTTCTTGTATGTGAAATCGTAAAAAAAAAAAAGATAAATGAACTTATTTACAAAACAGAAACAGACTCATAGACAATAGAGAACAAAATTATGGTTACCTGGGGGTAAAGGGGATAGGAAGGGGTAAACTGGGAGTTCAAGATTTGCAAATACTAACTACTATATATAAAATAGATAAACAGCAAGTTTATACTGTATAGCATGGGGAGTTATATTCAATATCTTGTAGTAACCTAGAATGAAAAAGAATATGAAAATGAATATATGTATGATATATATAACTGAAACATGATGCTGTACACCAGAAATTGACACAGTGTTGTAAACTGACTATACTTCAATAAAAAAGAATACCCAAAAACATTATTGGCTGGCTGGTGGTCATTTTAACTGATCACATTTAACCAACCACAAATTAAATTTAAAGAAAATAATGTAATGTCAATGTGGAAAGGCTTTTGATAGCTCACTCTTGGTTCATATTCTAGCTCTGTGATTAACTTTGTGACTCATGACAAATTAGCTCTTCTAAAGCCTATTTTCCTATCTAATTTACAGCGTTGTTGTGAGGAATATATTTATAAAATATTTAATAGGATTTAAAAATCTATTAGGTTTCTATGCTTTCCCTTATCCTCAGGTAAGTGCTTTTTGAAATTTGTGTACCAGAATTTTTTTTTAATTGCTATGGAAGGTAACCAGCCTCTGTCCTAAGGAATAAATGCCTTCAAATTTTTGCTTATTCCTTCATAAAACATTACTGTGAAATAGAGAAACATTAAAAAATATTTTAAACGTCACTGTTGGGTTACTATCAGAATCAACTGAAGAACTTAAATTTTTTTAAAAAGTCATTATCTTGGCCCCAATTATAGATAGTAAGATTCATTGGGTCTGGATTGGGGCCTCTGAGTCCCCAGGTATTTCTAATTTGTGCACACTTAGGAATTAATAGTTAGAAATCTAACTTATCTTGGGTACAAAATAGTGCTTTTGAACTTTTAGATACTTTTGAACTTTAGAACTTTTAGAGTTTGAAATATTACTTTGATTTAGCAGATAAAAAATTAATAGGAGTGAATTCAGTGGTTATAAAATAAAACATACTTTTTCTGAGTCAAAACTTCTAATTCTACATGACCCCTAATATTTATTTTTCATTTGGGAAGGACCTATCTATAAATAACAGCATTTTCTAAGTAAAGATTATAATATTTATGTATGTTTTGGTATGTGTATGTATATATATATATATATATATGCAGATAGGCAATGGTTATTTATGCTGTACATAGAATATGTACATGTGTCCATTTATTCATTCAGCTTTGCTTTTGATTTTCTGGCTAACCTTGGGGAAATTACTTAACCTCTTTGGCCCTATGACAGGAAGTGATTAATCCAAATGATTTTTAGTCTCTTTCAATCATAATAGTCTGTAATTTTAAGACACTTTACCTTACTTGTGCTTTACTTTCTCTCACCTGTCATTTGCGAAATGTGCCATTTAGTCAGTGTCATACAGTAAAGGAAGATGTGAAGGGTAATGAGTATAGTGTTATATTTCACAGAATTATAGGTGTTTCATAAATAGTTATGAAGCCACTTCTAATGTCCTGAAATCTAGCATTTATGTTTATAAATACCTTGATTTTTAATTTCTCCTCCAAAGCAAATTTTAAGTGTTTACTTTTTAAAAAAATAATATTTCATATAGATGCCTCTATATGTGCCTTCCTCTTTCTCTATTCATTTTGTTGTGTCTAAAGAGAAGGTAAGGTACTTAATGTAGAGTTCTTCAGCAAGTATTTTGAGTAGAACTTATGACCACATGTATTCTTTATCCTGTCTTTCCTTGGTGTAGATTTTGGGAAAAGGATTCATTTAGACTTTAAGCTATCTGTTGTACCTGAATACTTATTAAACATTTGTGCATTGAGTGCCCATTGTATGCTAAGTGGTCTTGGACGACACCCAGTGAACAGTCTCTTTCTTCACGGTCATTTTTTACTTTTAATATTAAGAAACAGGTAACAATGCTGTCCTTTGCTGGAATATGCTGTAATAGGTCTAGGAAAAACATGTTGAGCATCAAAGTCTGGAAATTGATTCATTTGCATTTATCTTTGGAGAAAGTGAGGAATCTACATGAATGTTTCATAAATTCAGTTTTGCAGATTTTTATAAGTTTTTTGTTGTTGTTTTTGAATTTCTTATTACAGTGCAGCTTATGATGCCATTCTTGAAAGAAACGTTGCAATCAAGAAGCTAAGCCGGCCATTTCAGAATCAAACTCATGCTAAGCGTGCTTACAGAGAGCTAGTTCTTATGAAATGTGTAAATCACAAAAATGTAAGTGAACACTGTAGAAAATTTCTTAAGTATAAATGAAATCAAGATTTGTTCATGAATACATTAATATCAAAAAACTTTTAAAATAGGTACTTTAAATTGTTCCTTTCGATTGAAACATTGCTTAAAGGGATATCTACATTGTGAAATTTTCTCAACTTTATTAAATTATGTCAGAAGAAAAATGGCTTCTGAAATTTAGATTATATAAATTTCTGACGTTTAATTTGCAAAAGGAGCTTTAAAGAGGGAGGTGTTTTAGAACTTTTATTTAGGCTTGATCTCATCTTCTGCTTTTGGTTTTCTATTAAGCTGACATTTCCAAAAACTGAAGCCTTAGCACAGAGATGAAATTGTTCCCATTCTTTTTTTTTTAACTTCTATTTTATTTTATTTTTTTAGCGGGGAGGCAATTAGGTTTATCTGTTTATTTTTAGAGGAGGTACTGGGGATTGACCCATGATCTCGTGCATGCTAAGCACGTGCTCTAGTGCTTGAGCTAAACCCTCCCTCCCCCTTCCCATTATTCTTTGACATTGGAACTTTATTTAATACTATTGGATAAAGCAGTTTAGCAGAAACTTTAAAAAAATGTTTAAGTGAAATTAGTAAAACATTCCTAATACTATTTTCTAATGATTATAAAGACTTCAACATATGACTTTCATCCCATTTACACTTTTTTAAACTTACATTAAGCATACTGATACTTTTATGATTATTTTAATGGATGATTTTTCCAAGTCAAGAGGAAACAAACTAGGAGTGAATTCTGAAAGGGACAGTTTTATGAAGTACTAAACCAAAAGCATCTGATTGGAGACGTTTTGTGGTGTTTGTCCAAGGGAGTTTATAAGATTTGAAGAGCTCAGTACTCTCTGATTGCATATAACACAATTTACCACATTTTGAGAGCTAGTTATGTGCAAGCCTCCATGTATTGCAGTTGTTAGGTTAGCCCCTAAGGGGAAGCATTCATGGAAGTTAAGGATTAGACTACTCATTTGGGGAGATTACAGTATTATTTTGAAGACAGAATAAATACGGAAAGAGTTAAACATCAAATGTAATAAAGCAGTAAAAGTAATTGTCAAATTATGGCAAATGGAAAAAAGTGCTGAGATTTAAGGAGAGAGAAGATTGCTCAATCAGTGATGGGAAAGAAGGTGTGTCAGCCATTCTACATGGGAACCAGGCATGTTGCTTGTCAGGGTTTTACTGGTGGCTCCTGCTCTGGAATAGAAGTGCTTGTGCCTTGTTTTGTGGCGATAATGGTGGCATTCCCTTGGTTTTATACTAGGGTGATGGCCAGTGACACCCTCCTCCTGAGCTTGGGCGAGTGACTTCAAAGAAAGATGATTCTATCACCTAAATAGAGGCCTTGGAAAGCTTGTTTCACATGATTAACCCTCTAGTGTGGGTGTCGCAAATTTATCTAGGCAATACCCTTGGCACCTAGAAGAGTGCTGGCACAGAATAGGTGCTCAGAACATACTTATTCAGTGAATTGTTCAGTGAATGAATGTAAAGCTAGAGATAGGGAAAAGAAGAATGGTAATGGGATTTTTCCCCCATTCCCTGATGGATGGATGTTTCTGTAATGTCTTGGCTGTTCAACAATTTCATGTTTTGCTCAAATCATCTCTTCGTTGGTCTAAACATCTCTGGTTTTTCCCATTCTCTCTTTTTTTAAAAATTCTGGTAAAATACACATAAGATAAAACTTACTGTCTACCATTTTTAAGTGTACAGTTCAGGGGTACTAAGTACATTCATATTGTACATTTTCCACTCTTTTCATAGATGGTTTTGAATTTCCTTTTCAACTTGGTCACTTATTTCTGAATGCACTTGGCTCTGTCACCTAGTACACAGTACTGCATGTCTGATTGAATCCTCTGAGAGGGACTGAGGCATATCATCTCTTCTTAAGTGTGGACATTGTAATCCTGTTTGGAAATCAGGTCATCATTTGACTCACATTATCTCAGCAAGTTATTCTTTGTCACAGACCTACTAACAGGTCTTTCCCATTCATTTTGTTTGTTTTGTTTTAGATAATAAGTATTAGTACTTTCTATATCTTCCTATTCAGTTTCACATGTGAATTTTGGCTCCTCTTACTGGGTGGACTGTTGGAGATCGCTTTCTTCTTCTTTGTTCTGATTTTTCACTTGTTCGCTTCACTTACCAGTTTTGCTCAGGATGCCTGCATAATAGTTGGATTAATTCATTAGCAACTTTTGGGTATACCGCAAAAAAGTACATGTCTAACTATAACAATTACCCAGATCTCCCCAATTCCTCAACCTGTTCACAAGGATATTGTTACTAGTGACATTTTCAAAAATGCCTTTTTGAAATCTTTGTTGTATCTGGTTGCATTTCCCTGATCTACTGCTGCTATTCTTTGTTGTTATTGTTTTGTTGTTATTTTTATTCACAGAAGTAATAAACAAATAAAATTTTACATGTTTCTAGTAATTTTTACTTCTTTCAAAGTAGTCATATACCACCCACTTAATCAGTCCTTGACTTTTGTTGATGTAAGTCTATGATTGATGTAATTTTCTTGATTACATAATTAATGTAATTGCTGAAGCTGTCCATTTTAATCTTTTTTAATAACAGCTTTATTGAGATACAATTCACATACCATACAACTAACCTGTTTAATGTGTAGAGTTCAGTGGTTTTTAGTATATTCACTGATATGTGTGACTGTTGCCACAGTCAGTTCTAGAACATTTTCATCACCTCAAAGGAAGCCCCATTCCTTTAGCTCTCATTCCCCCATCTCCCATCCCCCTCAGCTCTAAGCAACCACTCATCTCCTTTCTGTGTCTAAATGGCTTTCATCTTTAACACCTCTCTTCTACTCTGGGATTTCCCAGATGTTAATGAGAACGGTTTTAGTATTTCTCCAAGTGTCAAGGTATATGTATCCAGTTCATCTTGTTAGAAGAGAGGAATTCATTTCAAGCAACTAAATACTTACTATCACTTCCTCTGTCTTAAAACAAATTTGTTTAAAACCTCTCTGATCTGAAATTTTTTTCCAATTTATTCACTGAACAAATACTTGAATGCCTCTAAAGCAAAGCTTTATGCTTAAATCAGTAACCTAGATTCTGCCCACATGAAGTGTATACCTAGAAAAGCATTCCCATTCCTAAGTATAATTGTCAACAGACATTTCAGAAATGTGTGTCAGATATTTTCCTATATGCTGGAATTGTAAAGGGGAATAAGACACAATTCTTTCTGACAAGGGTTTTGGTGTGGTTGGGATGAGGCTGTTGTGAAAGTGAAACTATGCTATAGTGTGTTAAATGCCATAATAACATACAAGATATTGTGGGGACAAAGTAGAATATTCAGCTCTGTCGAGGACTAGTGGGTTGTCAGACTCTCCAAAGAGGCCTATCTTGAAGGTTTAGTAGTTAGAGTTTAGTAGGTAAATAACAAACATAGGGAATAGTATGTTTAAAGGCCTTTGTGTTTTTTTTTTTTTAAACAGTATTCTTTAAACTGATTTAGTATGGATAAAGTATCAAGTTTAGTAGAGGGCTCAGCAGGAGATGAAGTGGGTTGCTGTCCTGTCGTGGAAGGCTTTGAATGTACTGCAAGAGGGGGTTGTAATTTTTGTTGTTATTAGCATAAGTTTTTGAGAAGGTGAGTAATACTATCAGGTCTTTTCATTACCGTATATTATAGGCAGTAAAATGGTAGCTGGATTTGTAGAAAATCGTTGTTAGGGAACTAAGTGTTAGAAGTTATTATAGCATGAACAGCCTAGATGAAATGAAGATTAGAATCCTCAACATGTGTAGTTAGCACAGGGAGTGAAAAGAAGAGGCTGAAGTTCAAACTGCCAGTAAAGTGGGCAACATCCTTTTAAATATTTATTATGGTGCAAATATTGAAAAAATGTCAAAAAAAGACTTTGAACCTTCTATTGTAAAAGAAAAGGCACTCTGGAAAAGTAAGGGATTTGGGTAGGAATGATAATGAGTTCAATTTTATATTATTTTGTGAGACATCACGTGAAGTATCAAGGAAAATCTAAGACTCATAAGCTAAAAAAGGACTTTTACTGCCTACTTACAAGTTATCCACATAGAGATGTTTGGAGAAAAAAACATACATAGTATCACCCAGGAACAGGATACAGATAGAGAAAGGAGGAGGATTAAGACAGAATAGTAGGAAAGATGAACTAGTGGAATAGACTGGAAATGAGGAAAACTGGGGAAGTGCAGTATTAATGAAAAACCAGCAGGCAAAAGGGCTGAGATTATTTAGAAATACTGAGTTGGATAAGAGCTGGCAGAAGGTATTTCAGATTTGCTTACAAATTATAGAGGATTATATAATGTAGGTCCTTGATAATTGAGTGTTCATAAATGGAATAGATTTTGTGAGGCTCTTCTGTTGATATAGTTTGTGTGTGTGTGTCTGTGTGTGTTTTAAGACTATTTTTTAAAAAGCAGTTTTAGGTTCACAGCAGAACTGAGAGGATATCCCGTGTACCCTCTGCCCCCATACATGTATAGCTTCTTCATTACTGACATCCCCAACAGAGTGGTACATTTGTTACAGTCAGTGAACCTACATTAACACATCCATGTCACCAGAATCCATAATTTACGTTAGGATTCACTCTTGAGGTTTTACATTCTTGGGTTAGGCAAATGTATAGTGACATATTTCTACCATTATAGTATCATTCAGAGTACTTTCACTGCCCTAAAGATCCTCTGTGCTCTGCTTCCCTCCCTGCCCCCAACTCCTGGCCATAAAGTTGTAATATATAAAATAAAAAAGATTGCTTGAGCTTAGAACCTAAGACTAGAAAATTTTTACACTGAGGGCAGCTTTTTTTTCTTAATCTATGTATTTGCAGTTCCTCTAAAAAAATTATTAAGCAATTTCTGATTTTTTTATTTCTCTGCTTTTACCACAGATAATTGGCCTGTTGAATGTTTTTACACCACAGAAGTCCCTAGAAGAATTTCAAGATGTGTAAGTGTGACAGTTAAAATTTTGTTAGTATATTACTCTCTGATTGTTACTGTGTACTTTAGCTGTCGTCTTTTTTCCCATGAAGTTACATAGTCATGGAGCTCATGGATGCAAATCTTTGTCAAGTGATTCAAATGGAACTAGATCATGAAAGAATGTCCTACCTTCTTTACCAGATGCTGTGTGGAATCAAGCACCTTCACTCTGCTGGAATTATTCATCGGGTTAGTAGAAAAAATTATCATATTCTCTTTTTGATCATTGAAGTGAAATTCATGTAAATGTAAAATTATTCATCTTAAAGTGTTCAATTCAGTGATATTTAGTGTATTCACAACATTGTGCAACCACCACTAATAGCAAATTTCAAAGTGTATTTATTGCCCCAGAAGAAAACCTCCTACCCATCGAGCAGTCACTCCTCGTGTCCCTCTCACCCCAACCCCTGGCATCATGCCAGTCTGCTTTCTGTGTCCATGGAGTTGCCTCTCCTAGATATTTCACAGAAGTGGAATCATATAATATATGACCTTTTCTGTCTGATTTCTTTAAGAACATAGTGTTTTCAAGTTCATCCATGCTGAAGCATGTATTAATAGTTCATTGCTTTTTATGACTGATTAATACTCTTTTGCATGTATTTGTCACATTTTCTTTATCCATTCATCCATTTATGGACATTTGGGTTATTTCCACCTTTTAGCTTTTGTGGATAGTGCTCTTTTGAGTATCTACCTAGGAATGGAATTGATGGCTCATATTTAACTTTCTGAGGAACCACCAAATTGTCTTCTACAATGTCTACACCATTTTACATTCCTAGCAACAATGCACAAAAAGTTCCAATTTCCTCAAATCTTTGCTAATACTTACTGTCTTTTTTCCTTCTAGCCATCCTAGTTGAGTATGAAGTAGTATCTTGTGGTTTTTTGACTTGCGTTTCTCTAATGACATTAAATATCTTTTCATGTTTGTTGGCCATTTATGTATCTTCTTGGGACAATGTGTGTTCAAGCCCTTGGCCCCATTTTTTAATTTGTTGTTTGTCTTTTTGTTGTTGAGTTCTTTGTATATTCTGGTTACTAGATCTTAATCAGATATGTAATTTGTAAATGTTTTCTCCTATTTTATATGTTGTTTTTTCAGTTTCTTGATCTCTTTTGATGCAATACTGCTTTTAATTTTTATGAAAATCAGTTTATTTTTTCTTTGATTGCATGTGCCTTTAATGTCATATGTAAGAATCCATTGTCAAATCCAAGGTCATTAAGATTTATCCTTAATTTTTCTTCTAAGAAGTTTATAGTTTTATCTCTTAAGTGTAGGTCTTTGACCCATTTTGAATTAATTTTTGTGTATGGTGTGAGATAAGGTGCCAACTTCATTCTTTTGTTTATAGAAATCCAGTTGTCCCAGCACCATTTATTAAAGAGACAGTTGTTTTCTAATTGAATGCTCTTGGCACCCCTCTTGAAATTCAATTGGCCATAGACATGTGGTTTTACCTCTAGACTCTTAGTTCCCTATTCCATTGGCCTTTGTGTCCATGCTTATATCAGTACCACATTATTTTGATTATTATAGCTTTGTAGTAAATTTTGAAATGGGGAAATGTGAGCCCACCACTTTAGTCTTTCTCAATATCATTTTGACTTCTCAGAGCCCTTTGTGATTCCATATGAGTTTGAGTGATTAGCTTTTCCATTTCTGAAGAAAAGGCCACTGGAATTTTTAATAAGAATTTCATTGACTCTCTAAATTGCTTGGGTAGTTTTGCCATGTTAACTATATTTAGTATCCCAACTAATGAACACAGGATGTCTTTCCATTTACATAGGTTGTGTGAGTCTGTTTGGGGTGTCATAACAGAATACCACAGACTGGGTGTCTTAAACAACATAAATTTATTTTCTCACAGTTTTGGAGGTTAGAGGTCCAGGATCAAGGTGCCTGTAAATTCATTTTCTGCTGAGAAGACCTCTCTTCCTGGCTTGGAGATAGCTGCCTTCTTGCTGTGTCCTCACATGCCCTTTCCTCTGTGCATGCAGGGAGAGAGTGAGTTCTGGTGTCTCTCTTTTTGTAAGGGCACCAGTTCTTTTGTATTGGAGCCCCACCCTTATGATCTCATTTAACCTTAATTATCTCCGTAAGGACCCTGTTTCCAAATACAGTCACATTAGGGGTTAGGGCTTCAACATTTGCTCTGGGGTGTGGGGTGGGGGTATGCAATGCAGTCTACAACAGATCTTTAGTTTCTTTCAGCAATGTTTTGTAGTGTTTAGTGTGTACGTCTTTTCACCTCCTTAGTTAAAATCTTCTCCTAGGTGTTTTATTCTTTTGGAAGGTATTATAAGTGGAATTGTTTTCTTAATTTCCTTTTCAGATTGTTCGTTTCTGTTGTATAGAAACAGAACAGATTTGTGTGTGTTGATCTCATATCCTGCACCTCTGCTCAGTTTATCCTATTAGGGTTTGTTTTTTGTTTTGTTTTTTTCCCTACAGTTTTCTCTATATATGATCACATCATCTGCACAATAGTTTTATTTCTTCCTTTCCAATTTGGGTGCCTTTTGTTGTTGCTTTGGTTTTTTGGGGTTTTTTTGTTTGTTTGTTTTTTGCCTAGTTTTTCTGGCTAGAACTTGAAGTAAAATGTTGAATAGAAGTGGCAAAGGTGAGCATCTTTGTTTTATTCTTAATCTTAAGGGGAAGGCTTTCAGTTTTCACCATTAAGTATGATATTACCTATGGGGTTTCATAAATGCTGTTTAACTGTTTGAGTAAGTTCCCTTTTGCATCGGAGTTAATCACATTGTACAGTTAGAGGGCACAAACCCCACAAGACTACCCTCACTTCAGACTAGCTGGCTGCAAATTTGGGGTCCCCACAACCACTCTCAGATTCGGTGATCACTAGAATGATTCACAGAACTCCAAAAAGCACTACACTTAAAAGTTTTTTTAAGCAGAAAGATACAAATTAAAGCCAACTGAAGAAGGAGGTGCTTAGGGCAGAATGTGGGAGACATCACGGAGAATTCAGTCATTCATCCTTTTTCTCCCAGCCACAAAGTATGAAAATGCATGCAGAGTATTGCCAACAAGGAAAGCTCACTCCAGAGTTTTCCTTGCTGCTCAATCACATGCTGCCTGCCTGGCTAACCTTTAGTCTCCAACCCTCCCTAAGGTTCACACTAATACCTTTAGTCTCCTATTTCTCCAGAAGTTGGAACTAACATGTGTCCCAACGCCCCAGTCATAAATCACACTGTTAGACTGTCCTGTGACAAAAACCCCCTGGCAAATAAAGTCACTGCTGTCAGTCAGGACATTCCACTGGCTTAGAGATCAGCTGTAGCTGAGGGCAAATACCATACCTCTCTTTACATAGGATTAATTTTTCACCACATACGTTCTATACCTGGTTTAAGAGTTTTTATCTTGAAAAGGTGTTGGATTTTGTCAGATGCATTTCTGCATCAGTTGAGATGATCATATATTTGTTTTTCCTTGGTTCAATTAATGTGGTACATTACATTGGTTAATTTTTGTGTATTGAGCCTCCCTTGCATTCCTGGGGTAAGTCCTGCTAGGTCATAGTGTGTAATCCTTTTGATATGTTGTTGGAATTGTTTTGCTCCTATTTTGTTGCAGATTTTTTGCATCTGTGTTCATATGTGATATTGGCCTATGTGATTAGGCCCTGAATCTTATCTCTGCAAGGAATACTCTCTTTTCTCTGTGATACCTTCTCCACCCTGTGGAGAGTCTTTTCTACCAGCCTTCTTGAATATGTATCAAGTGAGTATTGGAAATGTGTTCTCATTGAGGGCTGCACAGCTTTTTCAGCTTCCTATCTATAAAAGATTGGGGGCCCTAGTGTCATTTAAGGCAGTCCTTAACCTGGACACTACTGACATTTCGGATGAATAATTCTTTCTTTTGAGGTGCTTTCCTATACATTGTAGAATGTTTGGCAGCATTCCTGGCCTCTACCCACTAGAAGCCAGTAGTACTCCCCAATTATGACAACCAAAAATGTCTTTAGACATTACCAGATACCCTCTGGGAACAAAACTGCCCTGGTTTAAGAACCATTGTTTTAAGGCTAGAATTTTTTTTTTAATACTACAACTCTCTTAGAAACTTAGGAGGCTTCTTATCTTTTTCATTACAGTTCTTTTCAGAGCACATCTGTTAGCTCACTGGCTCTATATTCTTGGACTCCATGTCTACCTTTATGTTTTTTTAAGCCTCTGTTGGCAAGTCTGAAATATTTCCATCAGCTTAAAGAGTTTACAGGTCTTTTTACCTCAAAGGCTTTCAGAATTGCTGTGTGAAAATAATGCATTAAAAACAAATCCAAGATATCAGTGACTTAAAACATTTATTGCTTGCTTAGGGGTCTGCAGTTTGGCTGTGTGGCACTGCTGCAGGTCACGGAGTCAGGTTCAGGGTTTGACTCATGTTCAGGTTTCAGCATCCAGGCTGAAGGAGTGCCTTCCTGAGGCACATCCATTTCTCACAGTGAAAGAAGGGCAAGAGCCATGCTAAATCAGTCAGGCACATGTAAAACTTCTCTTCAGCTTTTGTGAACACCACATTGCCTCACAGTCCATTGGCCAAAATTAGTCTAGGCCCATCAATAAGGTGAAGAAGTATATAAGTTGGGAAGAGGAGATATTTGCTGAACAATCCACCATTATTTTTTTTAAAGATATAGTAACATTTAATTCTCCAGAATGACAAAGCCCTGAAATTCTGGATTCTCTGTTCCTTTTATTTCTTCTTGTAGAGTGGCCAATTCTTTTTAAATGTTTTAATTTTTATTTTATTTTTTAATCTGTGTACTGGCTTATTTAAGTGATTTACTTTCCATTTGTGATTGTCTCTTTCTTGTGGATTCTTGCTTCTTTTCTATTTGTAGATGACTTTTCAATATTTCTTTTAGGATTAGTTTAGTAGTGCTGTATTCTTAGTTTTTGTTTGTTCAAGAAATTCTTTATCTCTCCTATTCTCAATGATAATCTTGCTGGGTAGAGTATCCTAGGTTGCAGGTTTTTCCTTTCAGGACTTTGAATATATCTTGTAAAGTGGCCACTTCTTTGATATGCACACCAGTAGCCACCTACACACACTATTGAAGTTTTGCTTTTCAATCTCTTCTTCTAGAGCAGGGGTCAGCAAACTTTTTCTGTAAAGGTAAGGCCAGATAGTATATATCCTAGGTTTTGCTGATGGTAAGCTACAGTCTCTGTTGTAGCTTCTCAACTTTATGACAGTAACACAAAAATAGCCATAGGCAGTAGGTAATGAGTGAGTGTGACTGTGTTCCAATAAAACTTTCTTCACAAAAACAAGCAGGCATTAATTTGCCAACCCCTGTTCTAGAGCTTCTGGTTATTGTAGATGACAGTGTCATGAATATAATGAATGTATTGCCATTCTATAACCTGGATCACCTTTCCAGCCTTTGAACTGCTACTCAACTGCTAAGCTATGATCCTTCGTTTATAATTGTAATACCCCACTCCTGGTATCAATTTCAGTGTCAGAATAATATAAAGGAAGACATTCTTCTGTGTCTCCTTTATTCTCACACTAATGCCATAATGCTTCTGACACCATATGTGTGATAGTTTTTCCCACACCAAACAGTTCTCAGATTCTCTGGACACCAGCTGGGTATCTTATAATTTTACTCAGTTCTAACACTATCTACCTGGAGATAGCATTAGATGCTGCAGGTTAAAGGCTCAGTCCCACAAGACTGCCCCCACTTCAGATTCCAGTCACAATCCCAGGTTGTTACCTATGCTCCTGGTCTACTGTCTGTAATTTGGAGGTTCCCACAACTGCCTCCTCATGTTTACTTAATTTGCTAGGGTGGCTAACGGAACTCAGGAAAACATCTACTTACTAGATTACTGGTTTATTACAAAGGGCCTAACTCAGGAATAGCCATATGGAGGGATGCATAAGGCAAAGTATGTAGGAAGGTGCATGGAGCTTCCAAGCCTTCTCTGGGTACATCACTCTCCCAGCCACCTCCAAGTGTTTCTCTCCATTTGTTTACCAGAAGTTCTCTGTACCATTCCTTTGGGGGTTTTATGGAGGCTTCAATTACATAGGCTTGATTGATTAAATATTGGGCCATTGGTGATTGAATTCTATTTCTAGCCCCTTTTCCCTCCCAGGAGGTCTGTGGGGTGGGGCTGAAAGAGCCAACCCTCTAATTACTTTGTTGGTTCCCGGGAAGCCAGTCTCATCCTTTCACACTTTCCAGAAGACACCCCATTAACATAAACTCTGGTGTAGTTGAAAGGTACTTCTTATGCACTCCTTTCACCTTTATTGCTCTTGTCACTTGGAAAATTCCAAGAGTTCTAAGGCCTCTGTGCCACTAATTGGGACAAAGACCATATCTACTTTTCTGATTATAAATTACAGTATCACAAGTAGGCCAAGGTAACAAACACTGAATTCTCAATGACTTAACACAACTAAGATCTCTTTCCCACACTGCATGTCCAGCACAGGTCTTGGTGAGGTGAAGACTGCTTTACATAGATGCTCAGCAATTCACTATCTGGAATATTACTCATCACCAGAGCAGGGCAAGAAACAAAAAGATGTTATGCACTGGCCGTTCTGTTCCTTGTTCCCACTCACATTCATTGACTAGAATTAATCACAATTGGGCTGGAAAAATGTGGGAGCAAAGGTGAAATATTGAGTTAGTCCACTACCTCTGCCACACACATTCACACAAGTTCAGTTCTTCTTCACAAATATGGATAGCAGTGCTACTAGCATCTGTAGAGAGATACATGTTGATATGCAAAAATGGATCTCAGATGACACTCTTTGAGGCATTTTTTGAGTTTCTTTTTCTTAACAAAAAATACTTGTTTTTTAAAAATTGTGTTTTGTTCTTAATTTTTCCAGAATAAAAGTGTTTAAGTTTGGAACCTTATTCCTAGACTAGAATGCAGTAGTATGAAGAGCCATTAATCAATAACCAACATGGTAGACATTAAAGTAGTATCAAAGTTTGTAATACTTATTTTTGAATGTGCAGTGTTACTTTGCTGAGACATTGTATTTTGGAAACAGTGGCAGCATATTTATAGGATAGCAATAATGAAAATTTTCATCTTATCTCAATAAGCCTGTTGATATCTATTTTTAATTTGATAAAACATTTAGAGGACACATCTTCTAAACCCATCCATGATTGCCTATCAGAATATGTTACAGACAACATACCTGCCTTTCTGGATTATAGACATTACAAAAGTAACCATTATCTTTCAGGTCTGCTTTCTTTTCTATTGTATTAGTCACTGGTATTCAATGTATGTGGGTGTACGCTTGCTTTCTTTGGTCTCTTAGTTCATAATAGGATTTATGGGAGCTAACAGGCAAGATAGGTTGAACTTGAAGCCATGAGTGTTTATGCTGCTGCCTTTTAATGATCATAGCACAGAATTCCTTAATTAATTAATTCAGTGTATTGGAATCAGGTGGGAAGTTCTTCACAAAGACATTGTAGTATCAATAGCAAGTAATTTTATGGATTAGTGGCACCAAGACAATGGTGTCCTAACTCTAAGGTCAGTCAAAAATTTTATGAACTAATTTGTATGACTTTGGGTGGCAAATCAGTGATAGAAAGACTGATAATGACTATTTCAGTCCTTTAGAGTTGAACATCTACTGATTTGAAAGATCAAATGACATTTGCTTTGGTTGACAGAATGGCCCATTGTTGATGTATAGTATCTGTATAAAGCTTATTGTGACTTTAAAATGAGATTTTTTAAAAGTTGGTAATTTAGTATACAAACGAATATAAACACTAACTTAAGATTCTTTCTTTTACCATAGTAGTTCTTATGTGAGCTTTGAGATGTCTTTCCTAATCACTTTTACTCTACTTAATTTCTAGCTAATCATAATTTCTAGCAAATAAAACATTACTAACTTCTCTAAGAACTGTATGTATTCATAAATTTAAAATGCCATCAAGCTCATTTCTCAAATTTGCCTGTTATAATGAATCTGTGCAGTGATAACAAGTACAGTGAGAAAAATGAACAATTAACGTGAATTGTTTCACAAGTGATCTTATAACTTGTGGACTGCAAAGTATTTGTTTATATCATAGCAGTAATTTTTTTATTTTTATTTTTGAAGGACTTAAAGCCCAGTAATATAGTAGTAAAATCAGACTGCACTTTGAAGATTCTTGACTTTGGACTGGCCAGGACTGCAGGAACTAGTTTTATGATGACACCTTACGTAGTGACTCGCTACTACAGAGCACCTGAGGTCATCCTAGGGATGGGCTACAAAGAAAACGGTCAGCAAACGCTATTTCCTTGAATAATGTTCTGGTTTATTTGCTTCTGTTTTTCAGGTTTCTTATGTAAATACTTAAAATGAAGTGCATAGTTTTAAATGTGTATCGCTGTTAGAAACATTTATCAACTACAACTACAAGTAACTACAAATTCTGTCATAAATGTTTGAAAAAACTTGGGGGCCCCTGTTTATTTAAACACAAATACATAACCATCAACACTACCATTGGGTAAAGAATTTGTTGCCGTGGCCCCTGTAACAGAACATATGCCATTTGCTTGCCTGTAACTTGAAAATGAGCATTCTAACATGGGCTCAAGGAAGTATATAGTGGACCGTTAGTTTACCTTCAGTAATCTTAGTTTGCGTTAGTGATATTTGCACACATTTCCAACCCCGTGACACAAAAGTTAATAGCAGTAGCGCTTAGTGCAAACTTTAATAAGAGTTACAACAAGGCCATTCTGCAAAGCTGATGGATAACTGATGTAAAGAGACCTTTCGGAGGGTCACTTTCACTGTTTCATCAAAGCCCTTATGTCCAGCCTTAAAGAAGTGGCATAAATATGTGTGAATATAGTCAATTATATATATCAGCACTAGAATCAAGGTTGAAGGAAGTTATTAGGCATGTAGTTCATGAATTTTAAAAAATTGTATACATATACATACATATATTTATACTTAAGAAATTTTGTTGAATCTCAGTCATTTAGGGGATGAATAAGTTTATACAGGATTTTATTGACTTAAACCATAACTTTTTTAATATGGTAATTTAATCTGAAACATTTCCTGAAATAGGACCTAGACATTTTTGCTAGGAAGGAGTCCAAAACAGCAGTTCACTTCAATCAGAAAACTGTATCAAGTCAGTCTTCCGGGTTCTTTTTTATAAAAGATAACATTGAACTCAGGACTATAGCTTAATTTCTTTTTCTGAGCTAATTAAAAACAAACACTTTAAACATTTACTATAATTCTTTTGTTCTGAAATAGACTGTTCTGTTTCTTACTCTTTTCCTAAAGTTGTTTATACCGTATAGAATCCAGCAAGTTAGGTTTAGTATTAGACTTTTTTTTTTTTTGAGAATTGGTACTTCCAGTGACCAGCATGAAGATTACTTCTGCATTTGCTGTAAAACCATTGATTGTCACAGATAATGTGTAATGTGTCACTCGGTCCTATAATTGGGATCTTGGGAGCCTCCTACCAGAAATTAGCACCAAGAAAAACTATCATATAAAAAATTGACATAAAAATTGACATACTTTCCTTTCTTAGATAAGAATTATATAGATCACTTTATTGCCTTTTTTTGCCCGCAGGAAACTGAGTCAAATGTAATGCTTAATTACGTAACTGTATTAGCCAGCAGGGTTAAACATAAGACCTTCCTCCTTTTGGGGACACTTCCCACCCACCCCCACCTGTTCTAACAACGTTGTTTTATATGGCTTTTATTGCAAGCTACCCCAATGCTTTTTTGGAAAGTGTAAGATAACAGAATATATTTAAACTGCCCAATAGACTAAGCAGTTAGGCCCTGTAAAACTAGTTTTACGTATAAATCAGGCTTATTGTTTTCTGAGGAAAGGCTTTACTGACCCACACAGTATCTTCTCTCATGCTTGCAGCTTTTGAAATCTGTTTTAAAATGTTTTTCTTAAGATTACCTGCATAAGTTGTGTTCTGAATATTTAACTAAATCTTGCTATTCTCTATAAAATCCATAGGGAAAAATTATTGTCATAGATTTTTGCCAAAAATGAAAACCCTGGAAAAGGTTTTTCTCTGAACTAGTTTATGAATACTAATTTTTCCTCTAAAATTTTATCCTTGAAAGTTGAATCATGCTGTAAATGTAAAAAGATTCTAATGTATTTTAATGTGAAATTTTAGAGAAACCTTAGTTCCATAGGATTTCCAAAATTTGTCCCAAACTTAACTCCTAAAATTCTGTAATGAACTAGCCGTCTCCTTATGAGTGTACTAGAAAGTACAGACTTTTAAGTGCCTGAGTTCTGCAGCATGGGTAAAGGGTATATCTCTAACATCCTTCCTAACATTTTGCTATTCAAGAATTGGAGCCTTCAGACTTCAAAAACAAATGCAGTTTTCTGAAGCTTTCCTTTCACATTGCTCCTTTTCCCCTTCTTATATTAAATTACAGGCATCTCCTTTTTATCCGATTTTGAAACCGAAAGATACAAAATGTCAGAGTATTTGTTAGTTTTAGTGAAACAGGTGGAGGTCCTCAAACTGCCCATTTCTGTGTCTAGCAGATTCTTTTCAGCATTGATTAGAGCTCTCATTTAAAGTTGACAAGGGGCAATAAATCCACCAGGAGACTGTAGATAATAAATCTGTGGGAACTTTCATACTGTATTCAGCCAAAACTAACTTCTTAAGTCAAAATAGTTTGGGTTTATGGGTTTAAAAAACTTTAGGCGAAAAACATATGAAATACATTTTTTACTAAGTTTCCTTAATTGATTATTTGTTCATTCTCTGCATGCTTTCCTTTGGGGACAGTAGAGTAAATGCAGCATAGTGTTGCCAAGAAGACAAATAACTTTCAATTCAGAATAAACTTAGCACTTCTCCATGCAGATTTATGAAATCCAACTTGAAAATTTCTGAAGAGTTTTAACTTTTTAACTATAGTCATTCAGAGAAACATTCTTTCTGTTAAACCTTTTAATATACTCGATTATTTCTGCTCATGCTTTTTTCTTTCATTTGACTTAAAGAGAGAGTATAATGCACAGTTGAACTTCAAAATAGTATCAAGATTTTATTTTTAAAATTTTGCTACTTCATATGCATTTTCAGCCTAATTTACAAGACTTGTGTTTGGTTCTTTCTTATATTTTGTAAACTAATTCTCAGGGACAAGATATATAGGGTTTTTTTTAATTATGGGATTTCTGTGCATAGCTCTCACTTTAAAATTAAATATGTAGTTAAAAGGCCACACTTCACATTTGCTTTTGTGAATCAAAGCCTTTTGAAAAATACTTTGTGTTTTAAATTATTCCATTAGCTAAAATTAAGATCACTTTTCTTTTTGTGATGTTTTGCCGTTTTTATATAATGCAGTCATATTATGCTTCTTTGATTTTAACAACCTTTTGCTTTGCTTTTCCTTCTTTTGTGCTGCAAACATATAGTGGATTTATGGTCTGTGGGGTGCATTATGGGAGAAATGGTTTGCCACAAAATCCTCTTTCCAGGAAGGGACTGTATCCTTGTGCTGCTGCAGCAGTTTAATTAGTCAGGTGAACTCCCAGTATGTTCTCTAATGAAAATGAATAGAGTGCACATTCATACAGGTGGGGTTTTTTAAACAGATGTAAAGTTTGTGGCTGTTATAGTTCAAAAATTGTTGAGAGATGAAGCTGAAATATTTGTAGGCTGCATCTGGCAGTAGGACATACAGTCTCTGCTGGTAGTTAGAGCACATTCACTGTCACTCATTTTTATTTTATACGGCTTTCTATAATTTTGAAGTATACATGGTGTGCGTGATTTTTTTTTAATGTTTATATTTTTTTTATTTTAACCAAAATCTTTACGTTAATGTCATTGCATTTTGTTTTCAGTTGACATTTGGTCAGTTGGGTGCATCATGGGAGAAATGATCAAAGGTGGTGTTTTGTTCCCAGGTACAGATCGTATCCTTATCTTTGGCCTAAAGTGTAGTTTCTAAAGGTCAAAATGTATGACAGCACTTCAGCTTGGTCAGGTATAATGTATTTTGTCTCTCCCTGATAAGAAAGTATTGTTAAATTACTCTTTCAAAATACCACCTGTTATTTGACATAGACTTTCCTTTCCCTCATTCATTGGTTGTCTCATATGTTAATTCTGAAAACTGCTCAAGTTAATTATCCACAATCACTTGCTGGCTTTGAATTGATTTATTTCACCTAAATCAAAAATCATGGCTTGCATTAAAATTTCCCAGTAATTATACGCTTGAGTAAGTCTAAAAGTATTTATGACTTAATATGAATTTTGGAATTGTCTGTTGCTTCTGGTCATCCTTTTGTTTTGTACCCCCCACCTCCTTTTTTTGTTGATGTTCTGTGTGTTTTATGTCTTTTGGTTGTTGTCTCATTACTCAGCATAACATACTGATCTGTTTGCCAAAGAATTTCAGCAGTAATAGTTCTATACGGTGATGAGTAGATTCAGGTTCATGACTTTTGTTCAGCTGACTACTTTTAATATTTACATTAACAGTGATGTGTTATGTGTTTATCAGCTAGTGACACTTGAAATCGTTTTAGGAAGAAGAATGGGAAAAGCCATATTCACTGAATTACAATAAAGTTTTAGGTCTTAGTCCATAGGGAGGACTTGAAGTGTAAAGACTAGGGGGAAAGAGACCAGGTATTCTGACCTTACAACTTACCAAAATAAAAGAGTTATGTTCTTAAATTTCAGAGCTTTAAAAAATTTTTATTAACATAAGCAAAACAGAATGGCAAAAGAAAATGCCACTTTTATCAGAGCCATCATTTTTATTGCTACTAGTTTTTTTCTGTTAGTGTAGAAAACTCAAAAAAGCAGTACAGATGATAAGAAATATTTCTTATCTTCTTGGAAATGCATTCATATTTTCTGATAAGCTGGAAGAAAAAGCAAATTTTGTATTCTAGAACTGTGTACAGTTTACATTTAGAGTTCCTGTGGGTACTAATTATCATTTTTCTTTGAGCCACTTACCATTTGTATTTAGAATTTGTGATTTTAAGCTTCCATTTTTATGATAAAAATCAGTATTAGTAGACATACACATACACGTAATAAATAAGGTTAACAGAGCTTGTTTATTGATCTTTTTGTCCACCTACAGTCATTGCCTTTTGCAAGGTGGCTATAAGATTTATAACTGCCACATTCTTTCTTAGGATTTTTTAATTGCCATTTTCTTGTTATTTTAATATGGATGTGACTAATATGTTGGACATTAGATACACAGTATTTTTCTTAGCTACTTGATATTAGATATTGATCAGTGGAATAAAGTTATTGAACAGCTTGGAACGCCATGTCCTGAATTCATGAAGAAACTACAGCCAACAGTAAGGACTTACGTCGAGAACAGACCTAAATATGCTGGCTATAGCTTTGAGAAACTCTTCCCTGATGTACTTTTCCCAGCTGACTCAGAACACAACAAACTTAAAGGTACTTTTGATAAATATGTATCTTTAATCCCTTTGTGGGTAGTTCGGTGTATGAGGGGGTCACGTGGGGTTGTGTTCATATTCTTATGGGACACAACATTATCACTGGGTAGTGGAACAATGTGAAGTTTTAGTTTATTTTCAGTTAATTTTTTTGGTAATTTTATATTTTCTAAACATGTGCATAATTTTATAGTAAATTCTATCCTTTAAAAACATTTTTAATAAATGATAATTTCAAGTTTCTGAAATGTATTGATAATTTTAAAGCTTTTATGAGATATGTGTACATTAATGTCATTATTTTTGCAGCCAGTCAGGCAAGGGATTTGTTATCCAAAATGCTGGTAATTGACGCATCTAAAAGGATCTCCGTAGATGAAGCTCTCCAGCACCCGTATATCAATGTCTGGTATGATCCTTCTGAAGCAGAGGCCGTAAGTTCTCTTCTTAATGTTTGAAGAATATATTACACTCTTACAGTTAGAATTGAAGTTAGGTTTAGAGGATTTTTAAATTTTTAAATAAAAATATAAATAAATAATCATGGTGTTTTCCTATTTTTGCATGAAAAGTTCCTTAAGAGAACGAACATACCCAATCACTTCTTACACAAAATAAGGTTCCCTCCCAGTTTCTTGCCTTTTTGCCTCGATACCTGATATGATGAGTTAGCATGTTGAGGAGCTCTTTGGGGAAACATCTTAATTTAGTTGTGAAACAAATTATTGTTTCCAAAGCCTTGCACAATTCTATGATATAAGTAAAATGTGACAATTTTCAAAAACAAGAAGAAAAGAAAAAGAGGGTTAAACATCTTTTTTCCTGTCATGGAGTCTTCCAAAACTAGCCTCTCTACACAAGAACATTGCTGATTGTTGATTAATCTTGGTCTAATGATATATTTTTCCAGGCCTTCTGTCTGACTAATATTTCAAATAATTATGAAGAATTTCCATATTCCCAATAAACTGGCTCAATTATTATTGCCTTGTGTTTTTCAGCCACCACCAAAGATACCTGACAAGCAGTTAGATGAAAGGGAACACACGATAGAAGAGTGGAAAGGTAACATTCACCACATTCTTTAAGAATGAAGCTGGAAGAGCTTCTGGCTTTCTGTATTGATTATTCATCATGTTAGGGAAATGAAAGACATTTTCTATTATTCGTAACTGATATTTGATAACATAGTTATTAATATTTTTACGAAATTAGAAAGTTAGTCTCCTTCCCTCGCAGACTTAATCCTAATGTCTTATGTTCCCCACCCCAGATACAGACACTTGAGTGCTTTCTAGAACTTACTTTTTTCCACAGTCTACAGATACACAAACGTGTGTTTGATGTCTCAGCTTTCTCTCTCCCACCTTGTTTTAATCACCAGTGGTTGCATACAGTGCACACTTGCTATGTTGATATAATCATACATTTTAGAGATTATCCTCTCTTCTTCCTGGCTCATTTCGTTTAGTGCCAGGTTAGTGATCTACTGTGTGGCAGTGTCACAAGGTTGTCCTGTATCCAGCAACCTCCTGAAGAGCCTTTTAAGTTGTGTCTAGTCTACTGTTACAAACAACTGCAGTGTTTCCTCTCCAAAGGAATTGTACCCCTTTTCACTTCCATCAGCGTTGTGTAGGAGTGTCTGTTTTACCCGTACCCTCACCAACAGGGTGAGTTAATTTTTAATCGTTGCATATCTAATATAATAGTTTTATTGTATTTTTTTTACTTTGGTTGAACATTAATAATGCTTTGTTAGTCATGGAAATGTTAAAATATTTCTTTACAAGATTTTCTGGGACATTTGGGCCACGTAACTTTTAGATCCTGTTTACCTCCATTTATGTTGTTGTCTTTAAAGTGTTGACCACTCTTGAAGCTCATGACTTTGGGCAAGTCACTTGATCCCCTTTTTCACCTGATCTGAAAATCAGGTAGACAGAAGACAAGAGCTAAGACCTTAACTATTTGGAAGGGAAAAGGGACTGGGGAGGTATAAACCAGAGCAGGTAATCCATCTATCAATTCACCGGAGAGGAATGAATTTGATTCTTTCTTCTTAGAAAAAACCAGAGACTAGTAAGTTGACTTTGGGAGACATATAGTTAGACTCTATAGAGCCCACCAGAGTGATAGAATTGAGTAGAACCTAGTGCATCTGTATATGTAAGATATATAATTTATAAGAGTATAGTGACTATGGGTCAGAGTATGTATTAAAATATCTAAATAGATGTTTTTATATATCATTACATCTACAATAAATATTTACGGTATTTCATGGCATCTTAATAGGTCACCAGTTGTAAAACACCATAACGTGCCACTGAGAAAGAGAAAACAATGCCAGCTGTACTGCACCATTGATTATAAGATGCAACCCAATTTCAGAGATTTTAAATCATGAAAAAAGTGCATATTTAAAATCGGTGAAACACAGTACTTTCATTTGTAGAAGGATGTAGCTGGGATTTTTGATTATCCTAAACATGTTTATCTTTATTCTGTATCTTTTTCCCCAGCCCCAAACGCAGTTTAGTATGTACTTACAAGCTATCTTTTTTAAGATCTGCTTAAGAATTTTAGCATCATTTCAGAAAGAAAAATTCATTGCCAAAGCCATTGATTACAGATTGCTTTA